CCCCAAATCGGATCATCATCCCTTTTAGAGAAATATCCTAAGATAGCCACTCGCTTGTAACTGAACATCCTACACAGCTTGTACCTGAACATCCTGGATTTGGTCACTTTGAGAAATATCTTTAAATTTCTCTTTCCCCAGGAGTCAGACAGCGTCATGGGAAATGGCTTTTGTTGAGATAACGTTACGGCTTTGATGGGAGTCTACTGGCCCCCACTTAAAAAATTTTCAGGCCCGGCTGGTGTGGCTCAGTGGTTGAGCGTCAACCTATGAACCAGGAGGTCATGGTTCAATTCCCAGTCAGGGCACAGGCCCGGGTTGCGGGCTTGGTCCCCAGTGTGGGGCGTGCAGGAGGCAGCTGATCCATGATTCTCTCTCATCATGGATGTTTCCCTCTCTCTCTCCCTTCCTCTCTGAAATCAATCAAAATACATTTTAAAAAATATTTTTCAGGCACAGGTGGCCATGTCTCTGCTCCCCCAGAATGTCATTTAGCGTTGGAGCCAACGGCAAGTTGTCTTCTGGGGAAATCTTTTGTCTTTTCAGCAGAAAACTCATTGGCCCAACTTGATGTTAGTAGGTCTGGCTCTATGGGGGGGGGGGGGTACATATTCTACTTAATATCTTCCACTCTGATAAGCATGTTTTTGTCAAGAAATCTTTGCTCCCATGGAAGGTTACTTCCATTCACTCTAGTCCCATATGAGTTTCTAAGTAGAAGAGCATTCATATCGTTAAATGTCTTGAAGACGCAGTGGGCTGACTTTATCTCAGGGAAGGTTGTAGTACTCTGCACTTTCATCCATAGCGTCTAAGGATGCCAGCTGCATGACTTTATGTATATTAGGTGTTCCATGGGCCTTTATTTTATTCGATGCCAATTTAAGACATGAAAACAGGAATACTGGCCTGATGTTTCTGTCTTGGGATATTAGTGAGGTGCAACAGTTTTCAGAGTTATTTCCTGTTTCTATTTCTTTCTTTTTTTTTTTTTGTCATTTGATACTTTTCCCCATTTGATGACAGGGACTCTATTCTTTTCTCCATTTTACGATAAAAAGCCTTGCCTTACATTTACCTACCCTTTAGTGCTTTCGAATAAATGGGTCTTGAAATTATTCTTTCCGCTTCTCATCCTATCTGTCACCCTATTGTTTTCTGCCCCTGCTTTCATAATATCATCCCTCTTTTCTTAAACTTTTCAGTGGAATATCGGCTAACTTATTTGTACTTAAAAATTCATTATTATTGTAATTTGTCTCTCCTTGCAATCGAATACAAAAAAGTTCTCAAATGTAGAGATGGGAAGGCCGTGAGTTCCGTGGTCTGGGGCTCAGCCACGGCATTCCACCAGACACTACATATTTTGGGGGATTTCCACGAAAAGTGGGTCTTCATTACATTTTCTATATGATTGTTGCTTTAGATGGATTAGAAATCGCAAGTATCATATGATGCTACTTTCCAATGTTGATCCACAAAGAACATCTTTTTTAAAAAATTATTTTGAGAGAGAGAGAGAGAAACATTGATGTGAGATCAAAACAACCACCAGCTGCCTCCTTCATGCCTCCCATTGGGGATGGAGCCCACAACCCGGGCAAGTGCCCTGACCGGGAGTCGAACCGGTGACACCCAAAGAGCATCTTGCTCCAGCCACCCACCCATGAGTGAATGATTTAGAGGAAACTAGAGAAACAATAATGCATGAAGCAGGAACAAACAAGAAAGACTGGAGCCAGCAAACCCTCTTTGGGGGATCATTCTCAGCTGCCTTCCGTGGCACTTGCTGGTCCTCAAATAACTGACTCTTGCTTTGGGGGCAGGAGCGCTGTACTACTCCATGACCCAGCATGTTTGCAAAAAAACACCAAACAACAAAAAAACCACCTGCTTCCACATTTCAGGGATCCTTGGTTACATGGACAACTTGCCAAAGACCCCCCCTGTAGCCAGGCCCATGGTCCTAGAAAGTGTGGAGAAGAGGTTTTACCTTGGGCTATGACAGAAGAGGAAATAAGGAATGTTTGGGCGGGAAAACTTTGGGCAAAGGTGATGAGGCAAGTAGCAGTCACAACCCAGGTGTCTGGTGGTGGTGGTGTGTTGGGGGGGGGCGACGTTGTACACCAGGCAGCTGCCGGAGCGACAGAACCAGGGTCGGCCGCTAGGTGGCAGGCGAATTCCACCATCACCATGACCGCCTACCTGGGACTTCATCTTTACCTAGAGATGGGGGGGTAGGTGGATTAGGGTTGGGGGGCTTTGATCCTTATAGGAAAGTAGGGGTGGCGGCAACGCTGATGATCCCCCTCCTCTCGAAGAGAGAATGACCTCAAGAAAGTCTTCTATACACCAGCCCGGTGCAGGCATGAATATCTTTCCCCCTAAACACCCAGGATGGTACACTGGTCCCCTGTGACCCCTCCCTCACCAGTCCCTGCACCCCAGGGCTCCGATATTGGCAGCTGACATCCCCTGCATGTTAGGGTTGAGCCCCCCAACCTCAGGATCCCCTTCCCCCCCACCATCACCCCCAATATATAGGCCCCCTCGTTGGTTGAAGGCTGTTGTTTCCTCTTTCCTATTAGAAGCCTGGGTATTATGCACGTTTCCACCCCAATATCCATGTGTTGATACAACCCAAGTCCCCCCCGAGCTACTGGACACCCTAAGGTAAGGTGGAGGGTCCCCCTTACCCACATAACCTCAAGAAAATAGGCTTTGAATGCCCACCTTATTAACCTGGCCCCGGCCCTTGCCACTGAATGGATCTACCTGCATTTAAACACTCGCCTACAATGGGAAATAACGCCCACTGTGAGGGGTTTTGTGAAGTCTGGACTCTTGGTTTGATGTCAATCTTATGTTCCACCGCCCCCCAACACCCCCTCTCCACCCCCATTAAAACCCTTGTGTTGTTCAGAAGACTGTAACCCCATGTCTCTCGTCGTAGTGTTGATGTTCTGGTGTATCAGAGGGGGGAAAAACACACACACACACACACAAAACTTGGCTCCCGCCCTGGCGAGTAAAAAATGAGAATGAAGACAAACTCCTCTGTGTTATGCTGAAAGTATATTTATATAGATATAGATATAGATATTTATTTCTCTGCAGACAGCGTGACCGATGAGTCATGTTTTACACGTCAAAGAACAGCCTACTTTCCACACTACAGAGGTTTTTTTTTGCACCAGGGTGAGATGGATGGCTGCGTCTCAATTCATTTCACAAAGCCAGCACAACTCCGGGTACAGCCACAAGAACGAGTCGAACACGGAAAAACGAGAGAGAGAGAGAATATCACACACAACTCACTGAAGTACACAAGTGCCAAGAGGTACCCAGGAGAACAGTAGCCACTTGAAAGTCAACAGCACGTGAGGATGTATACAAAGCTTTGGCAGATTACAGGAACCAGGTCTGAGACCCAAGTGTACACATAGGTAGGATTGGAACGGAAACACCAGGAAACGAAACGACACGACCCCCTCCCCAGCCCACCCCCTGCACGATACACACACACACGCGCGCGCACGCACGACGACCCTGTGAGTGGCTCTTGGCCTGGGGGACACGAAGGAACAGAGAGAGAGAGCGAGCGGCTAAGTTCCTGGCTTAGCGGGGACGGGACCTGCGGAAGCGACCCCCGGGGCGACCGTAGTAGGGCCCCAGCTCCTCGTAATCCCACTCATCATCGGACTCGCACTCGGCCAGGGCCTCGAAATAGTGGAAGGGCCAACACTCGGGATCCTTGTTATGGAGTTTGGCCAGGAATTTGAGCACCAGCATCTTGCTGATCTCCATGAACGCCCGGGGGCCCCAGAGGAACTCGTACTCGGGGGGCTGGGTGTTGGGGATCTCCCTGTACTCTAAGTATTTCTGCCTGACAAACTCCTCAGTGATGAGCTTCTTGACGTTCCCCAGGAGACCGTGCTCCGCCCGGACATCCAGCCCCAGCTTCTCCAGGAAGCTATAGAGCAGGTCCTCCCGGATGCAATTGCCTTTGATAAAGATAAGGCTCAGGACCGCCATGAGGAGGCCCAGCTTGGGGACCTCCAGGCAGGGGGGCTGCGAGGCCACGGGCCCGCCCCCGAACTTGTTGATGATAATGTAAGAGTGGGTCTGGGGGTCTATCTCCTTCAGCTGATACCCAAAGACACACTCGAGCTTGTGGTTGGCGCGCTTGATGATCTCCAAGGACTGGTCCTTGTACTCCCGGATGATGAACTTCACCATCTCGGACCGCCTGATGGGCACGTTGCCTCCGTCCTTGACCAGGAGGAACTGCACCAAGGCGTTGGCCCTCTCATCTAAGGGGGACACGGGCCCCGCCTCCCCCTTGGGCTCATCCTGGCTGGTCCCCACCCCCAGGGGCACGCCAGAGAGCTCAGAAAGCATCAGAGAGTGGGGGTTCCCCGGGTTTTCCCACGCACCCAGGGCCCTCGAGGTGCCCGGCCCCTCCCAGGCGCTCAGGGCCCAAGAAGTGCTCGGCCCCTCCCAGCCACTCAGGATCCGGGAGGTGCTCGGCCCCTCCCAGCCACTCAGATCGCGGGCGGCGGCGATGGGGTCCTCCCAGTTCCCCAGAACCTCCCAGTCATTATAGTTCATGTTGGCCCAGCGACGCGGGGGCTGCCAGTTGCGCATGGCCAGCCCGCGGCCGCCGCGGGCGTTGTCTTCAGCGTAGTAGTCGTCCTCCTCTTCGGTGTTCAGGTGCTTCTTCTTCCGGGTGGCTTTGCCCCCGGGGCGCCGGGGGGGCTCGTCGGGGGTCTTGGAACCCTCCTGCGGGAAGGCCATGGCCTGGGGGGCCGCCGCCGTGGCCATCAGCATGGTGGGCTCCGCCTTGGACCCGCTGGGGGCATTCAGATTGGGCTGGGGGACCCAGGGCACGGCAGGCAGGGCCTCGGCATAGGCAAAGGGATCCTTGGGGGCCAGGGGCAGCGACCTGGGCAGCTCCGGGATGGCGGGGGGCCCCTTGAAGGCGTCAGACGAGGCCGGCTGGAACTGGGAGGTGGACGGGAAGCAGCCCCTGGGGGTGGGCGC